GGATAGATAGCTCCAGCACAGTGAGTGATACTAGCTGATGGTGCTTAGCCAGGCAGAATGCAACTAGAAAATTCCTCTATGGAAATTAAAGGCACAGTTAAGCTTAAGGGAGCCAGAGCCTTCAAAATCAAGAACATAACACGCCCCCAGTTGTTTGGGTAAATCCCAGTTAGTTCCAAGCAACTCCTCTTTCTTCCTTAATACTTTGCACTCCCTGAAGGAATTTCATGTTTTCTTGGTGCTTCATCATCCAGAATACCATTCCATTAGTAACGATTGTTAATAGAGCTGGAATCCATAGTTCATTTCACTCCCTAAAAACTTGACAGATGGAAGTAATTGTTAAAACTCTTCATAATTTGAGAACTGACTTGCAGTATTTTGGATATTGAAATTAAATCTCTTTTACAAAGTTTATGCTTTAGGAGAAAAATAATAAGGGCTTATTAATCATTGCAAAAGATCTGTATAGTTTCAAATATGGAAACAAAGTAGCATGTTCAGTTTCAGTTGGTCTTGACTTTCAAAGGCAGGAAGAGCCGATTTTGTACACAAGTCCATAGACATTTTCTTCTGTCCTCAGCTTCATCTTCTTTTTGCTCCTCAGATAAAACCTGTTTCTCACTCCAGGTATCTGATGACTGCTTGCCCTCTTCCCTCTGCTTTCCCCCTTTCAGAGCCTGTGAGATCCTGCTAACCAATAACTTTTACTTGTTGTTCACAATTCACTTAGACTCAAGTGTTCTTTCAGTGTGGAAATTTTTGAATCTATTGACTGTTCAACCAAGAATCAATAAACATTTAGCTAGTGCAAAAGCCTGAAATCTTACCAAGCTGCTTTGTCAGCCTAGCCTTAAAGTTAAACTGATTTTGTCAGTGCAGGATCATGTGGAGTCCAAGAGAGAACTGGACACAAACATAGCTGATGTTTGTCTTTCCCACTTGAGTCCTCCACCTTTTGGAAGATCACGCAAGGGACTGGTCTCATTGCGGCTGTGTTAGGTATAGTCTAGGAAGCTGCTAGGGTGTTGGGATCTAGCCCACCTGGTTCAGCTCTATTGCCTGGGATTCCTTTCCTTTGTTACTCTGTCTCTTCCTTCCCACTACACATTTACATTCACATACAGTCCTATATACTGCTTTAGACTTTACAGAAACCTTTTGGGGACATTCCCAAAAGAACATATGATACTATTCCCTTTAATGCTATCAGATAGAAAAAAGAAAAAGAAAAACAGAACACATTTTACTCAGCTTTTTCATGTGTAAGAGAAAAATGACTTCCCATGTGCAAATTTTCTTAACTCCAATACTCAGGCTGCCTTACAAGTATTAATATGGGGATTTCTGAAAATAATGATATATATACTCGTATGTGACAAAAGCCTTCACACCTGATTAAGAGCAAAATGAATTTACGAAGTGAATTTTTCCGTGCCTGTAGAATAAATTATGTACCCTGAGCATTCACTAAACACATGACAAGCCTTTTCTAATATTTTGTTCCAAAGAAATATGTGATCAAAGATCCAATAAGAACTCATTTATCCGCTTGGTAATTATTAAGTAATTTGTTTCTTTCTATCTCAGAGAGAAAAATCCCAGATGAAGATTTCATCATTTTAATTGATGGATTAAATGAAGCAGAATTTCACAAACCGGATTATGGGGATACAATTGTATCATTTCTGAGTAAAATGATCGGAAAGTTTCCTTCTTGGCTCAAACTAATTGTAACAGTTAGGACCAGTTTACAGGTATGTGTTTGTTTGCTTTTAAACTGTAAATGATTCCTCTTGGAAAGAGCTTAGACTGAAAAAGTTCTAGGTCCTAGCTTCCTAAACCTCTACTATGTCCTAGAGCATTAGGAAGAATAATTCCCAGAGAATTAGTCTAATATTTTGAGAGATATGATCTAGAAAGAACATTCTTTGTACATTACTCTCAGATTCCCATTCCTATTGCTCTGGATGAGGTTTGATAAAATGTTCCTCAAAATAGCATGAAAAGAAAGTCAATTTTTCTAGACTGTTCTGAGGACAGCTGTGTAAAGATGATCTCTAACACTTGGACTTTCATTTAACATTTTTTAATCATTTAATGCTATGCAAAATTCAGTTCAGTCTACACCCTAGAATCAGATCTTCTGGTTCCTCCCTCTGCTTCTACTTAAACAACTCTTCTATAGCATGAATATGGACTTTCTTCTATATCTGTCCTCCTCTATCAAAAATTGGCAATATTAGGGCTTTAGATTAAATTTACTACAAATGAGAGATAAGTTGTTTTTTTTTCTAGTTACTTTCCCTGCTCACTCACTGGTCACTTAATGGCCTGGAAGAAGGACCAGGAATGTGAGAGTGAGCCTGTAGAAATATATGGGCTAAAGATAAATGACTCTACTTTCCCCAGCATTCTCCTTGTAGCTGAGTTGGTGTCCCATTCTTTACATATTCACACTTGGTTTGGAACAATGTTTCTCATTCTTTTTATAAAAATTATTTCCTTCTCTGATGAATATTAAAATCTCAAACATTATACACTCATCTCACTATTTGGATGCAGCCCCCATGTCATAAGCACTAAGGTACAGAAAATAGACTGTACATTTAAGTCCCTCCTTTCCCCCTCTGCCAGGCGCTTAGCATTATTTCTATATATTGACCAATTAGCATTACTGTCTTCCATGATGAGAAACTGTATTTCTAATCTTGGCCACCACCTTACAGATATTTATTATTAATCTCTAAGTAATTTGAGCTAAAGGATATGGATAAATCAATATAAATCCATCTTTACAACTGAAAATTATATAACCTATCATTATTAGTAGCTTGATGGTTAAAAATGAAAAATGAACAAAAGAAACCTCCAGGAATGTAATCTCTGACTGCTTTACCAAATGGATGCTTTGGAGATGTTATCCTCATACATAATTCTCACATAATATCATGGGCAGTCTCAAGAGAAATTGTGTTTCCGGGTAGAGTAGGTGACTTTAATTTTTCAGCTGTGCCAACAGAAAAAGTACTTCAACTAAGAATTTTTTTAAATTATTTCTTTTCTGATAGTGAAAGAATGTATAGGTTTTAGAAAATGAACCTTCATTTATATTTGATCATCATTATTTCCACAAACATTTCTTAAGTACTTAAGAGTATTTCAGGGACTATTCTGGGGGCTGGAGATTGAAAATGAACAAGACAGGCAATATTCCCATCCTCCTAAAGCTTATATTTTAGTAAGAAACACAAAAAACAAATGAGCAAAAAATTAAACGTATACTAAAATTACAGGTAGTGTTAAGTGCTATGAAGAAAAACAAAATAGGATGGAGGGATAACTGGATAGTACTTGTTTTAGATAGAGTATATAGGAAAGGCCTGTCCTTTAAAAGTGATGAGATCTGATCTGCCTTTTTTAAAGATTTCTGTCAACTGGCTGTCTACATAATAAAATGTAAGGGATAAAGAGTTGAAGCAGAAGTATAGGTAAAAGGTAATGGTGGCTTAGACTAGAGTGGTAATGATGGGGCCCATATGAAATGGTCATATTTCAATGGACTGTATTTTGAAGGAGAGTCAAAGGACTTGATGATGGGCTGAATGTGGGTGTCAGCAAGAGAGACGACTCAAGAAAGAATCCTGGGTGTGTTGTGAGCAAATGATGATTTGAGGACAATAAAAAGATCACAGATATCTTCTAGACTTTGGTGGTAGGGTCAGTGGTAATGCCGTTTATTGACATGGGGTGAGTTTTGTGGCTGGAGACAAAATTAAATTCTGATTTGGTCACATTGTCTATGAAATACCCAAATGTAAATGTTGCGTAGACAGATACAAGATGGGACTCAGGGGAGATAACTAAGCTAGAAACATAAAGTTAGGCATGTGCCACATATAGATGATATTTAGCACCACAGGACTAAAGAATCTATTGATGGGAGTGAGAATGGCTAGAGAAGAGGAAAGAACAGAGCCCAGAGGCCTGGGTGAGCTGGGAAATAAAAAAGGAGCCAGCAAAAAAGGGAGGGTAAAAGTGGCCAGTGTGCTGAGAGAGAAAAGAGGGAAACATTCTCTGGGAGCAAGCTGCAGAAAGTGACTCCAGAAAAAGTGCATCACAGTGAGATCTGTTGTGTCACACATTGCTGAGAGGTTGAGGAAGATGAGAACTGAAACTCTATTACTGGATTTGGCAAATCGAAAGTTACTGATGCCCTTGACATGAACCATTTCAGTGAGGTGGTGGGGGTGTAGCCTGATTGGAACAAATGGAGGAGAGAATGAGAAGGAAAGAATTATAAATAGCAAATAGAGAAAACTTTTGCGAAAAATGGGAACAGAGATACAGGGTGGTAGCTGGAAGGAAGAATATGGAGTTTATGTCTGTGTGACTCAGCTGAGAAGAACCAGATGCAGAAGAGAGAATGGGTACTCACAGGAGCAAAGTCCATGAGTTGGTAAGAAAGGATGGAATCCAGTGCATAGGAGTAGCCACAAAACCGTATCACCTTCCCCCAATGGAATTTCCAGCAGATTACCAAGGTGCCAAGCTTCCTGATGTTATAAGTGTACCTTTCAACTGAGGTATCTCCAGAAGGCCCACATTTAAATGTAGTCATTTTATACATCTGTGTTGTGTGGGAAATTTTTTTTAATAGTCATTTTATTAGGAGGGTTAGAAAGCCAAGTTTTTCTAAGCCATTCTTCGAATCCTTATACATTTCTGTTACTGACTTGTACTTGGCATTATGCCCTGGTTTACACTGAGAAAAATTACAGCAAAAGAGTTACACAGCACTTCATTTTCTATTTATTTCAGGAGTGTTGTTTAGAATAACGATCATGAAATCACTCCAAAAGCACCCTTTACAAAGACCCATTAAAAAATGTATCTTAAGTCTCAATGTTAGGAGAAGTTGTGTCCCTTCTATGCAACTAATTTGTTTTACTTTATGTATACTAATACTTGATCATGTTTCCCTGTTTGGCCACTTCAACGTTCAGAATAAATTTGTGAACCTCATAGTTGATCACAAGAGTTAGGGGAAACTGAATGTCTTTCTGTCTCTTTCTCTCTCTCCATCTGTTTTAGGAAATTACCAAGCTGCTGCCTTTCCATAGGATATTTTTGGATCGACTAGAAGAGAATGAAGCCATCGACCAGGACCTGCAGGCTTACATCCTGCACCGGATACACAGCAGCTCAGAGATCCAGAATAACATTTCACTTAATGGCAAAATGGACAATACTACATTTGGCAAACTCAGTTCTCATCTCAAGACCCTCAGTCAAGGGTCCTATCTATACCTGAAACTCACCTTTGACCTCATAGAGAAAGGCTACCTAGTGTTAAAGAGCTCTAGCTACAAAGTAGTTCCTGTTTCGCTCTCAGAGGTTTACTTACTCCAATGCAATATGAAGTTTCCAACCCAGTCTTCCTTTGACCGGGTGATGCCTCTCCTGAATGTGGCAGTGGCCTCTCTCCACCCACTGACTGATGAGCATATCTTCCAGGCCATCAATGCTGGGAGCATTGAAGGCACACTAGAATGGGAGGATTTTCAGCAGAGAATGGAGAACCTCTCCATGTTCCTAATCAAGCGCAGAGACATGACTCGTATGTTTGTACATCCTTCCTTTCGAGAATGGCTTATCTGGAGAGAAGAAGGAGAGAAGACCAAATTTCTCTGTGATCCCAGGTAAGACACTGATCTGTGATAAGCAGTTCTGAGCCTATTTTCTTTTTATTGCATAGAGTGTGAGTATTGAAAGTAGAGGTGTTCTTCATTGAACATTTCACATAGAAGAGACATCATCTGTGTTTCTTCTCAAGGCAAGGCTATAATGAGGTTAACTAATTTATTGTTTTACAGTGTTATTTCCTTAAGACTCAACATCTGCATAGATACAATGCTACCCTACATTCCTATGTTTTTCTAAATAATTTTCACTGACCCCACAGGGTTCACAGGCTATAATTAAATTAGCCATTTAATGGACTTCCTCAGTATTATTATTTTGATATGAAGAAAGAATTGATATATTGTTCATCTCTTTGACTTAGAGCAGAATCATTTCAAAATTTTTACTGCCCTTTTAAAATACCTTATCATTATTAAAGTTTCCAATAACTAAATCCATTAAGGTCCAGCCAATGCTAAGCTTTATACTAGAAAATAGAATCTTAAACCTCCTAGCTGAAAAAGATTTGAAGAGTTCAGCTAGTCTATCCATGCTGCCTTTAGATACGTAAGGTGTCATTATCTCCATTTTCCTATAAAGGCCTTAAGATGCTGAATCAACTTGCACAAAGCCATAAAGTTAATACGTGGGAGAAGGGAGAGGGCATGTACCAGAATAGGGATGGCAAGTGCATGATATATCCCGCCACTCCCCCACTCCACACATGCAGCAGGGTCACTGATTTACCCCAGCACTGTTTCCCAATGAGCTTCAACCTGAATTGAGAATCTTTCTCAACCCAAACCAGGCTAGATATGAAACTGTTTCCCTTTTTATTGCATGAAACCTAGTTCTCTGGCATCCTGGTGGGGGTCTACTTTTACTCCTTTGTACTAACATTTTTAAAGCAGTATTCCTTTAATAAAGTTGGTGTTTTCAAAAGCCGGGTATATTACTGACTTCATGGAAACAAAGAAGACACCAACAACATAGCTGGCAAATGCAGAGCTTATTTTGGCTCAAAAAGAAGAGGCCAGATTTGACTATGCCTCACATGTGACTCATCAGAAAGAATAAAACTCTGTGTTCATGCTGGGGTTTTATTGCCCTTCACTGTGTCCTTCACCAGACCTTATTAGAGACAACTGTACTGTGGGCATGCTGCTCAGCCTACTCCATGCTGATTCATCAGAAAATTAGTTCCACATTATGATGAAGATATTAAGCCAGGCAATAGACTCTGTAGTATTTTCCCTGAGAGGGAAGCTTTTTTAAAGAAACATGCTGTAATGGAAAGAACACAAACTCTTGAGTCAAATTACCTGCATATAAATCCTGCCTCTTCTAAGAACTGTAACCTTTGGAAAAAGTTGCATAGTGTTTCTAAGACTTAGTTGTCTTATCTACATAAGAGCAATAATAATGCCTTTTTTCTAGAGTTGTTGAGAAGTTAAATGAGGTCATATAATATGATGCCTAGAATAGTACAGAGTAAAAGAAGCATTCGGGGTATGTTCTTTTTCCTCCCCTCACCCTGCAGTAATAGACCCTTCTGGTGTAACTTAGTTAAATCCTGTGGCTAATCGGATAGCGACAGCCATCTTCTGCTATTATCATTTTGGAGCACAAGATTTTAAAAAGAAACAATAAAAACAGTCCGAGTCCCTTCTGTGACTTGTATGGTGTTCCCAAAAGGATTTTACTATAAATCCTACTAGAGCTGTTGTCAATATTTAATACACAGAACTGGCAACTACATATATAGGAAAAAGAAACTAATATAGACTTGCCTAAATGCTTTGAGATCAGTTCCCAGAGAAACTTTGCTAGCTGACCTTAGATCCTGGGACATCTCAGAGGGTTGAAAGCTGAGGTCCAAGGCAACCAGACTACCACTGAATTAATAGTATCCCTACAACAGATGAAATCCCCAGGGACTCTCAAAGGAGAAAATATGGCTTTTATACAGCCATATCATGACTATACAAGCTTGCCTTCTCAACATTGCCTATTATCTAGGAGTTTTGCAGCAACCAGCTGATGCACTGGGACAAGAAGAGCAGGTACTTCCAGCTTCAAATCCGGTATAGTTCGTTCCCTGGTGACTGAGTAACATGGCTGCTGAGAGATCATCTTATTTCACTTAATGGCAGAGAGTAAAATTGTAAACAGTACCAGGAGTTATCAGAAAAAGCCTTCTTAGATTTCATTTCAGTTGGAATTCAACCCCCTCCCCAGCAAAGGCTGGCACCAACCTTGTTACTAAAGTACTGAAGTATTGATCTCAGTGCTTAAGGCTCCCTAGGTCAATGAGATGGAAATTCACTAAGAATTTAATGCTCTTGGCAAAGCCCAAGCTGGTCTTTCAAAGCAGCTGGCTGCACTTGTTTTCCATTTCAGGCAGGTCTGATTAGCAGGACTCCAGGCAGGGTTTGTCTCTGTGGCCTTCAGCCTCCACTTCTTGCACATTCTTTCCCCTTCTGTTCTCTACTTTCTCTCCAGCTTCTGTCTAAAGCATCTAACGTATTTTAGTAGATAGAGGAGACCAATTCAGTGCCTCTGAAATCACACCAGGTAAGCCAGTGCCTGATATGTATATCTCTGCAGTGTAAGGAGAGCTTCCAGAGGCAACACAACATTCTTATCCTTTCTAGTCCATTTTCCTGGGCTTTCAGCACTCAATTGTTCACCCTGAACTTGTTGACCTTATTCGGAAGTTAGATATAGATGCAAATATTCTACTGATGCCAAAAAGTAGTTGATCTTCTCCTGAAATAGGCTACCCAAGGAGGTAGCTTCTGCCTGAGCTGAAAAGAGTCAGTAATTGACAAAAGCTGGAAACAGGAAATAGCAGAGCCAGAGGTTAATGCTACAGCTGAGATTGAGTTTTCATTATTTTGAATACCAGACTGCTTATCATCTCAGAATCTGGGCAAGGACTTGACTACCAGAGAGAATGACCTAATGTTACATAGACGTATCATTGTCATAGAAATAAATGAGTAACAAGGTGAGTAGGGTGAGAGAGAGAGAGAGAGTGTGTGTGTGTGTGTGTGTGTGTGTGTGTGTTTATCAAACTGTAAGCAGAGTATCACTGAAGAATCTTTTAGATTTGCAATTTAGGTAAAATATGCCCCTTGAAGCAATCACAAACCTTAGAACACACCACCTCATTCTGCTCTCTGTTTCCCACTGTTCATCACTGTCAGCCTTCTGACATACCGTGAACTTAATCTGTCCTATGTTTTCGTCCCTTGGGCACTGAGATATCAGATTAACTCACTAATTTAATAAGCAAATCCCTGCTATTACACTAATAGTAGAGAGATGGAAAACCTATTTGAGGCAGCTTGTGCATTTAAAATAAGACATTTGAGAGAAGTAGTCATCGGCCTTTGTTAGACAACCTTTTAGTGACTCTAATAGTAGAAATTTATGGCTGATAGAATAGACAGTCGGAGCTACCAGCCTTGTGGTGCTGTCCAGTTACTGCTTAATATTTCTAGATCGCTTTAGGCTCGCCCTGAATAAATCTCCACTCTTTGTTCTGTTTCTGTTCCTCGTTATCTCAATTTTTATGGTATCTAGCTTTCCGTTCCATAGGAACAGCTCTCAGATTAATATTTGTGTGTGTGTGTGTGTGTGTGTGTGTGTGTGTGTGTGTAACATTTTAACAGATTAGAAGACTCTCCTGCCTTATTATGTGTGTATTTTTGTGGGGTTTGTTTGTTTTGTTTTTTTGAGACAGGATCTCACTCAGTCACTCAGGCTGGAGTGCAGTGGCGCGGTCATGGCTCACTGAAGTCTCAACCTCCTGGGTTCTGGCAGTCCTCCTGCCTTAGCCTCCTGTGTAGCTGTGACCACAGGCACGTGCCACCATGCCTAATTTTTTTTATTTGTAGAGACAGGGTCTTACTATGTTGCCCAGGCTGGTCTCAAACTCAGGTTCAAGCGATCCACCCACATTGTCCTCCCAAAGTGCTGGAATTACAGGGATGAGCCACTGCACCCAGCATTTTTTTTTCCCCCAAGACAAAGTCTTACCCTGTCACCCAGGCTGGAGTGCAATGATGCGATTTCGGCTCACTGCAACCTCTGCCTCCTGGGTTCAAGCAATTCTCCTGCCTCAGCCTCACTAGTAGCTGGGATATTACAGGTGCCTGCCACCTCACCCAGCTAACTTTTTTGTATTTTTAGTAGAGACGGGGTTTCACCAATTTGACCAGGCTGGTCTTGAACTCCTGACCTCAAGTGATCTGCCCACTTCGGCCTCCCAAAGTGCTAGAATTACAAGCATAAACCACTGTGCCCAGCCCAGCCAGCCTTATTTTTAAATGTTTGAATAAAATACAGGAAGCTTGTTGTGAACTTCATGTAATGAGTATTGAGTTGATACAACCTAATGAGGTTGTGATGTGGGAGCCTAAGGTTGTGATGTGGGAGCCTAATTTGGTTTGACCTGATTTCCTCAAATTAAAGGCAGCAAATCCTGTGATGAATGGAAAGGGAAAAGGCGACACAAATCCTACCTATACCATGGGATAGTTGAGTACTCACTTGATTCTTTACGACCAGAATTGATTGCTTATAATAAGTGGTTTGTTGATATTTTTCCTAATTTATTTGACCATATTAGTAAGTGAATTACACATTGGAGACCTGATGCTCTAAAATCCATTGCCACAAAACAGGGTGTCAGAGAACAAGCAGTTTGTCTAAGGAAAAAGAGAAGACATCCTCCCCAAAGTGGAAAGTAACTGTGCCAGAGGTCTGTATAACAGGGCTTCTTACAGAATAGATGGGGCTGAAATGACTACAGAATAAATGGTGAGTTAAAGTTTGTGTTGATTTTGTTTTTTTGATCCAAATATGAGCCTCCAGGCAGATGACATCTAACCTTACCCTCACTGAAACACAAATTCGAGGTCACTGCTCCTGATAGTCATTGCAGGCTCCCAGAGCAGACCCTTAAACTGGAGGATGGGTTCTGCTTTCTCAAAGCATTAGGAGAGAATTC